AACCTGTTTGTCAACAACGTTGTGAGCAGCGTCGGCATTGACGTGGTCCAGGGCGTGGCGGGCGGGAGCAAAAAAGTTGCAGTCAACGTGTACGACGCTACGCTGGGCCGGCTGATCGACTCGAGCACGCAGCTTATATCCAAGGCGTCGTGGCGGTCGCCCGAGGACCGCGAGCTCCAGCAAGGAACAAGCGACAAGGATCCGTTTGGCAACGACGACGATGAGCAGAGCCAGGTTATTTCGGGTGTTCGGGACGTGCTGAACAGCGCGAGCCGCCAGCTGTCGTACGAGATCAAGGGGCATCTGCCGCGGAGCGGGAACAGCACGGCGATGCATAGCAGGGTGTCGCCGGCACAGGCACCAAGGATTATTGGCAAGTTTATCGATGCGAAGCCGGATGACTTGAAGATTAGCGATATTTCGCAGCTACTGGCAAGTTACCAGGAGCTGGCCCGATACATTAGCGAGTAGCTTTTTTTTAATGATTTGTGGCGGTTTTTATTAGTTTAAATGGAACGATAGTATATTTGTAAAGATGTTGAATAAGAATCAAGTGGTAAATTTTTTGGTTGTTTGTTTGATGCTGTTATTTAACCAGCGTTGTAAAGTCTAAATGCACATCACCAACGATTATCCAACGTGTCACTAAGAAAAAAATGCAAAAATCGGTTCAACTCTTTCCCTTTTGTTATTTTCAAAAACAAAAATAAAATGTATTCGAATTACCGAGAGCAGCCCACGACCATTTCAAGCTCTGATTCAGAGTCCGATGTGGAGGAAGCCCTGACGATGGGTGTCGAGGCAGCGCTCCGCCTGCGGTCCTCGGAGCTATCCCGCGGAAACATGGTACCGGTAAACGTGGCAAGGACTGTCCCCTCACACATATCGGCATCGGTAGCCCATGACATACACATTGAGAGTGCGCGTGTGCACTCGTCGTCGCCGCAGCGTGTGCGGCAGGTTCCGGGGAAGGAGAAGCTCGGCATGCTCGCGCGGCCCCGCCAAAAGCAGGGCACAGCGACACCGATCCACGTTCCGCAGAATAGCATGTCGCGGGAGCAGATCATGAGCTACCGCAAGAGCGTGCGGGAGATGCACCAGGTCCCCGTGTTCCGATCCGATGTGCCCGATGTGACGAGCGAGGATAATTTGCAGCGCGGGCTGGGTGTAAGTGGGGGGCTTCGGCGTTCCTCGGCGAAAATAACTAAAGACGATGTGGAGGTGATGCTGGACGAGCTGGCTCGGGTCAAGATCGCAGAGGACGAGGAGGTCGTGGATACGCCGAGCGAGATGACGGTTTCGCTGAAACAGCACCAGCGCGAGGGCGTCGCGTGGATGGTGCGCAACGAGATGAATGTGAAGCGGCGGGGCGGGATCCTGGGCGACGACATGGGGCTGGGCAAGACTGTGCAGGCGCTGGCGCTGCTGATGGCGCACAAGCCCAGGGTCGGCGAAAAGCACGGGACGCTTGTTGTCGCGCCGGTCGCGACGCTGAACCATTGGAAAAACGAGGCCGAGACGCGGTTTAAGCCCGGGACGCTGAGCGTGCTGGTGTACTACGGATCCAACCGCGAAAGGTTTGACGATGTGCTGGGTGACTACGACCTGGTTATCACGTCGATCGGTAACGTTGCGTCCGGGTGGGAGGCGGACTCGACACCTCGTGTGTTTGACCTTTCGGAGCACGACCGCGAGCTGCGGGATAATTCTAGCCTTGCGGCAAGCTCGTGCGCGCTGTTCCGTGTGCGCTGGCGGCGGATTATTGTGGACGAGGCACACGAGCTGCGGAACCGCAAGTCGAAAAAGTCGATGGCGTGCTGCGACCTGGTCGCGCAGTACCGGTGGTGCCTGAGCGGGACGCCCATTCAGAACTCGCTGGAGGACGCGTACTCGCTCTTGCGCTTCCTGCGCATCCAGCCGTACTGCAAGCTGCGCATGTTCCGGGACTTGGAGTCGCGCGAGGACCGCGGCATGGGCGTCGTGCGGACAATTCTGAGCAGCCTGATGCTGCGGCGGCGCAAGGTTATAGTGGCGAAGACGACGCAGCTGGAGCTGCCGGTGCGTTACAGCTATAACCACCGCGTCAGCTTGGCGCCTGCTGAGCGTGTATGCTACTTTTTGCTTGCGCGGTTCGGAACGTCGATGGCGAGTTGGCTGAGCCGCGCGAGCTACCAGGAGATGCTCTCTAAGCTGGGTTTGCTGCGCCAGGCGGCCAGCCATCCAGCCATTGCAAATGCGTCGGCTGGAGCTGTATCGGGAGCGCTGGTGCCTGGAGTTCGGCTGGACATCAAATTGAGCACTTTTGCTAGCACGATGACGCTGCAGATGGACGACGGCGCAGTTATGCCGCCCATGTGTGGATCCGGCGCCGGTGCTTTCTGCGGCTACTGCACTCGCGACATCGACTTTACATGCGAGTTCAATGTGCATGTATGTGGTGGATATCTTTGCTCTGAGTGTGCGAAGGGCGGCAAGCTTGATAGGCGGTGCAGCACATGTCTGTCCGAAAAGCCAGCCGTCGACCCCAAGTCATGGATCAGAATGCATGCTGCTTCGTCCAATGGTATCAAGCTGGACAACCAAGTCATTGAGCGTATTAACCAGCAGTATCTGGGCTTAAATGCGGCGCCAAGTTCAAAAATGGAGCGCATTCTTCAAATCCTCAAGTCGGTGGACAAGCACTGCAAAAGCGACAAGGTTGTCATATTTACGGAGCACCTCGAGTTCATTGCCATTGCATCGCCGTATCTGGCCAAAAACGGCTTCCCGAATTTACCGTACACTGGGTCGATGACCAAACCGAAACGGGACAAGGCGATCGAAGATTTTGCATCGGATCCAAGCCTTCGCGTTTTGCTGGTAAGCAAGAAGGCTGGAAACGTTGGGATCAACCTCACTATGGCCAACCACGTTATCGTTGAGTCGGTGTGGTGGAATCCGGCAGTCGATGGCCAGGCCGTGGACCGTGTGTATCGCATTGGTCAGACAAAGCCCGTACACGTGCATGTGCTTATTTCAAAAGGGACGGTGGAGGAGAAGGTCTACGATATCCAGGAGGCTAAACGACAGCTCATCAACTCGGCAGTCAATGATGACACCTCTGCTAAGGCTGTCACTCTGAGACGGGATGACCTTGTTAATATCTTTAGAAGTATTCACAGCTAGACTTTTCTTTAGAATGTTTTGTTTAAACTAAATGAGCTGGGTTCATTATCTGTTGATAATTCGTGTTCTAGCATATAAACGCTCTGAGCTGCATGTTGAGCAGTAACGTTCAATTAAATAAAGATACATTGTATTCTTATCAATGCAATTAATAGACTATAATAAATAATGGAAATTAGTACATTTGACCGAATGGTGTGATGGCCGAGTGGTCTAAGGCGCCACGTTTAGGCCGTGGTCTAGAGATAGACGTGGGTTCGAATCCCACTCACATCAACTTTTGCGTATATTTTTGTGAATATGCAAGGAGCGCCTTTTTTTTGACCGTCCGCAGTAACTCCATTCACTTGCTAGCGCCGTGCGCATATTTACTGTTTTCATTTTTTTTATGTTGATGCGCCGTACGCAATATGCGTATTACACATTTTTGCTTCATGTTTATATCATATATACAAAAAAGAATAAGAATTATGAAGGATTTTCGCGCTTCACCCACAGCAGTGATTGTCGGGGCATGTATTGCACAGCTGATAGACAACATAACATATACAATTTCATTTGCCTGTTTGCCGCATTTGTTTGAGGATATGAAGCTAGCTTCCAAGTCGCAGATTGGTCTAGTCTCAGCAATGTTTGGGTTCGGTGGATTCCTGACCAGTTTGCTTTCGGGATTCATCAGTGACCGGCTGCAAAGCCGTAAGCTGCCTCTCATTGTTGGCTCAATCGGATATGTGGCATGTGCCATGATTTTGTACTTTTCACACAAACTGTGGCATTTACTGCTGTATCGGCTGCTCAACGGCATGGCATCTGGGTTAGTTTACTGTGTGACATTGGCTGCAGTTGGAGATGTTTATCCACACAAGTTGCTTGGACTGCGGATGGGACAGCTAAATATGTTCAATAACGCAGGTTATATGGTTGGGCCTATATTGGGCGGTTCAATCTATCAGCATTACGGCATTCATGGTGTGTCAATTGTAATCAGTAAGTTATTGGTAGTGTTGTTGTTTTGTGTGCAAGTAGTCAGCGTCAAATTTCTAATAATTAAACTGCCAAAAAATGGTGTGTAGTGGTAATTGGCAGCATTTTATCCTTATTGCTTGCATTTGGAATCAAAGAGCCATTACTAATTCGCGCTAGACTATTGGACCGGCCGCAAGCAGATAGTTTCAGTGAAATGTCAATCGAAAAATCTGACATGACAATTGCAGCAGAAATCGAAGCGACAGATATCGAATACAAGGACATGCCGCTCTGGAAGCTTGTACTAAAGTGGCGAGTGCTCCTGGCATTAATAATTACGCTATCACTTGGCACACTAAATTGCTCGCTGGACAACCTGCTCGGAATCTATGTAAAAGACAAGTTTAGCGTAACATCGTCCAAGGCAGGGCTGATTTATTTAATCAATGGTGGCATGGCCATTGTTCTATCAATGCCCGCCGGATTTGCTGTCGACTGGATAATCGGGAGGTATGGCGAAATAGCACGTGGCTATATACAAATTACCGGCCTACTGCTTACTAGCGGCGCAGTATTTACCATAGGAATGAGCACATCGTTTGGTGCGCTGGTTGGGGTTGAGGCATGGCTAGCCACTTCCAATTTGCTGATAAACATTCCGGTAATGAGCAGCTTTGGCGATTTTGTCAATGCTCTTAAGCTAAATTCGATGTCAAAATTATACGGGATGTTCAATTCTTTCTGGTCAATCGCGTCGATATTCGCACCGCCGATCGCCACCTGGCTATACACGCAAATTGGATTCAAGCTCACCGTTTCGGGGCTACTATCGGGAATGTGTGTCATGTGTGCGTGTCTGATACTGACCGAAATCATATGGAAAAAGTCAAAAAGATTTAGTAGCTGATTTCCGGTCAAAAAACCACGCGCCACCCGACGCCACACTCCCTAAAATTCACTACTGCCGTGTCTACGTAGAGAATTTTTCTTTGGGATGATCGTTCTCCAAAACCTCTCTTTGGTATTGATCGAAATAAAACTTTATTATCTTACAAATGGATGCCCGCTTAAGCAAACTGCCGGTTCTCCGGTCCATCAGACACCTACCAGCAACAATCTGGGTTCTATCATCACTATCGTTTTTTATAGACACGTTTGTGTATAGTCTGACGGTAGCTATGCTTCCTAATGTGCTTCAGGACAAGATGCATGCTCCTGAGTCTGCGAACGGGATTGTAACCACTGTATTTGGGGTCGGCGGTGTAGCGGGCAGTTTGGCTACTGGAATTATAAGCGACCACTTCCATAACCGTCGGTGGCTGCAAATGTTTGGTTCCTTGATTTATGTAGCATCGGGTATTATTTTCTACTTTTCCCGCAAGTATTACCAGATTCTAATATTCAGGCTGGTAAATGGAATAGCTTCGGGTATCGCCTGCACACTTTTATACGCTACGCTGGCAGATGTGTATCCAGCGAATCTGCTTGGCTTCAAGATTGCAATTGTATATTTTTGCAATGACATAGCGTACACTATTGGTCCAATTTGTGGCGAGAGCTTGTTCAATATTAGCGGCGTTAAAGGTCCAGCGCTTCTGGTTGTCGTGCTGGGTCTTTTTAAGCTTTTGGCGGTGGCCGTCATGGCCGCAGACTCTTTGGAAATCCGGAATATTGTGCAGACCAACAAGGAGCCCGTGACTAACAAACCCAAGAGCATGTCAATCCTGAACCTCCTTTTGCGCCTGCCGGTCATTGTTTCGACAATTGCAATTGCCGCCGCGTTAGGTATTCAAGGAATGCTTGAAACACTTGTCCCGCTGCACTTGGTTGATGCGCTTAAACGGCCAAATGTTAACGGAATAACATTTGTAATACTCGGGCTGATATTTACTATACTCGTCCCAGCAGTGGGTCAATTTAATGATTGGCTTATTAAACGGAACGGCGAGAAGATGCGGTATTACTTTATGCTCTTTGGATCGGTTTTTATGATTTTTGCCATGGCGCTCATGTCGCAGGCTAAAACATACGCTGTGCTCATGGTTGGATTCTCTTTCTTTGCGCTCGCCAACCTTTGTATGTGCATTCCGGCTCAAAGCGCGTTTGGCGACTTTATTAACGACGTCGGCACAGACTCTATGGCTCGCGCCTACTCTATTGCAATATGCGCGTGGGCTGCTGGAGCTATTATCTTGCCATCAATAGGTTCGGCTTTATATTTGCACCTCGGATTTGCCAAAACAGTTATTGGCCTTTCTACCGCGGCGTGTATAATAAGCGCGAGCGCGTGTATGCTGTATATTTTGAGGGAACGGCGGCAGCGACAAACTAGTTTATGCTGAAACCCTAGCTTATATTTTTCGGTCAATTTCCTGCAGCTGTCAGCAGTTATTGCCTCCACATTTGCTATAAATTACATTTATATTTATAAATGCGCCGGTTGAAATATTCCAGTTACAAGTTTTTTTTTAAAAAAAAAATCCAGTGTGAGCATGTGGCAAAGTCTTCGTTGCTTATTTCGTAACTGCTTTTTTGCATGCTTTAATCCGAAAAACAATTTCGATTATTGTTGCTTACACGTTTGTTCCCTCTTTTTCTTTTCTCTAGACCTTTGCGTTTTGGAATTCTGGCCTTTTTCTATACTATTAAGCAATGCAAAAAATAGAGCCGCCGCAGTTTTTACGCGACATCCGAAGTAGGCCATCAACTATATGGGCTTCATCGTCTACGACCGCCCTAGTCAATCGGCTCATATACACACTGGCCATTTCATCAATTCCCGACTTGCTCCAAAATACCATGCGTGTATCGCGTGCTAGCAACGGAATTCTAACGGCTGCCTTTGGTATTGGCGGTTTGATGGCGGGCTTGCTCACTGGATACATTAGTGACCGCACGCAAAACCGCATTGGTCCGCAGCTATGCGCGGCAGTGCTATATATTGTATCTGGATTGATTCTATACTTTACGACACAATTTTACCACGTTGT